AGCTGCGAGCGTGCTTGGGAGCGGCAGCCACGGCAGCGCTCGCCGTGCTCGGCTGCTGCCTTCCCTCCGGAAAGGCGGGCAGCCCACGGGAATCTCGTGCCGCTTCACCTCGGAGGCAGAGAAGCGTGGTCGGTGGGAGATTTTTAGCCAATTTCACATGTTCACCAAAGCTCTTGCCTTTCCGGATGGTGCTCTGGTTTTGTGCTGAGTAAATGAGCTGCTTCTCTGCCGGCAACCCCCCTGAAAGGTTTATCTCGGCAGATGCAGGGAGAGGATAGCCGGTGAGGAGCTTTGCCCAGCCGCCATCCCTTTTAGCAGGAGCTGAGCCCGGCGGAGCCGCAGGGTGGTGGTACGTGGCGTGGCCGGGGTCTGGCTGACTCGAGGTGAGCCCGGCGCTGCCAGCCACCTCCTGGGGTCACCTCGGGTGGATTTTGACTTGAGCCACCCAGGCTCTGCCCACAGCCCGCTCCCGTGCAGGTGCTGCATCACTGGGGAAAGGGTTTTCATGAGTAACTTTGGTACAAGCCGGGCTGGAAATGGCTTGTTGCTGTGCTGGCAGCAGTCTGGCGTCCTCCTCTAACGATACCACCCCGTGTCCTCCCCGCCTGCCTCACAGCAGCGTGGAGCTGGTGGATGTGACAGCGTCGAGGCCACCTCCGAACCGTCCGGCTTCACGCACCACTTCTCTGCACCGTCCTTTCAGCTGCCTCCCTCTGAAAACACACAATACTCTGAGGTTTTTTTCCCCCCATCCCGCGCAGGCGGTGTGTATTTTGGCGTGGAGATGTAATCGGTTTGAGAATTCGTGCTCCTCTTCCATTGGGAGCCCTGTGCCGGGCGGGTGGCAGGCTGCGCTGCTGCGGTGGGAGCTCGTTTTGCAGGAAAACCAGATGCAGGGCTGGTTCAGGCTGGCTTACATCGCCTGGGATGCTGCTCCCTTGGACATCCCCTCTCCCAGACTCCCCGTGCTCGGGGTCCTTCCTTCCCCTTGGTTCTGCACGTCTGAGCGTTTGGCCCTTGGTGGTTGTTTGCAACATCAAAGCGAAACTTAGTCCAACTCAAAATGCAATTTGCAGACCCCAGCATCTGTTACGCGGGGCAGATCAAGCAGTCAGATGTCTGCAGGGCGGCGAGGGGCCGCAGCCTCCTCCTCTCACCCTTACAACATGTGTCCTGGGGAAGATCAAATCCTATTAACCCGCAGCTCTACTTGCAAATTATACCATGAGAAATCTGCCCCTTAGGATTTCTTAACAAACGAGATGCAGAGCAGCTCTGCACACGGCAGAAAAGTCGGCAAGATTTTTCTGGTCCAGCCTTGAATAATTCAGTAGCTTGGGTAGGACAGGAGTGACGTAGCTCTTCAGCGCAGCTACCTCTTGGAGGTCTGCTTCAACCATCTCGGCTCCAACCATCTCGGCTCCAACCATCTCTCCTTAACCTGCGACAGGTACTTCCCACGTCCTTGCTGTTGAGGAGGTGGGAAACCATCAGGTAGTCTTCAGGATCACAAACAGGACAAAAACCGCCGTAACGTGACCTCTTCTGCGTTGGGGTCTCCTGTCCCAGTGCAGGTCCCAACTATTTGGGGAAAAACTGGGGAGTTTTTCACCGTAGTAAGAGCTAAGGGTCTGCGTGCTGTCAATGTCATAAAAGAGGCAATGTCCTGGTGAACTAAGGGAGTTGTTTGTTTTCATCCTTGGTTGATGACTAAGAGTTATCCGCATCTTTTGGGATGGCTTTTGGGAAGCAAGATGATGTTCTCAAGGCGGCCTCGTAGCAGAGAGCTGCATCCCAAAATCACTGCCAGCCAGGGCACCATCTGCAGTCCTCAGCACGAGTCTGCGGGGATTAGGGGAAACTGGATGTCCTCACATGGTTGGGTGGCCCCAACTAGTGGAGTTTGAGGACACGTGGGGTTGATGGTCTCTGGAGATGTTTGAACTAGTAGAACTTGAATCGGAGTCTGAATGCGTTTTATGCGTCTTTGAACCCCAAACCTGGCGACTGCGATACGGACCAGTTTCTCGACGCAGTCGTGCTACTGGATTCATCTAGCGTGGTGTCTTGTCATGCGTAGGTACCAGCTGTTTTGGGAAAGTGGTAAACCTGGAAGCCTGGAAGATTTCTGTTGTTTCCAAAGCAAGTTTTTGGTGTGCTGCTGTATCTCTCATTGTGCTTCCCCATCTCGTAACGCCAGTCAGAAGCTACCTATGCCACGTGGGCAAACCTGGCCGTGCCCAGCCATGACCCCGCAGGCTTGCAAGCCTGGAGCTTGCTTCCTGGCTGTCAGAACTCTTGAAGACTTGAGCACAGTTCTCGGGTTTGCCATGAGCAGATCTGGATGCACAGAATAAGAAATGTGGGTGGCCAGGCTGAGTCGGGCAGGAGCAGGCCCAGGGGACAGTTGAGGTTTCTTAGGGTTTGAGCTGAGATGTTTGATGCAGCCTCTGGTGTGCGGCAGGCCTCCCCACTGTGGGAGGACTGAGTTGGACGTTACAGCACTGAACCAGCCTCTCTCCTTTCCGTGCAGCTCCGAGAGGATCCAGGTGACCCTGAACCTGGATGGAATAGTTCAGGTGCTGGACTGCCACCTTCATGACACGTCCATTGGGATGATGACCAGAATTGCAGTCCTGAAATGGCTCTACCACTTGTACATCAAGACTCCTCGTAAGGTAGGTCAGGGACTCGGCATGTGAGCCTACTGCTTCCTCCGTGGGACTGAGCTTGTCCGCTCCCAGCCTGCTCCTTGCCTTTGAGTTGGCTGTAATTATCTTGGTTAGCATTGTGACCAAGTGTCCACCTGCCTTTTCTGAGACGGCTTTGGCTGCTGGATACCCAGTAGCTTAAGGAAGAAGAGCTCTCCAGCTCAGATGGAAGATGCTGGTGAAGCTTTTGGCAGCCTCCCCTGGGGCGAGAGGTCCTGTGGCAGGGACTGACCAGGCCTACAGGACTGATGCCGTCCGTCTTTCTGGTTCTAGATGTTCCGACACACCGACAGCCTCTTCCCCATCTTGCTGCGGACCCTCTCAGACGAGTCGGATGAGGTAAGTGCTGCAGAAGTCCTCCTGAAAGCTTACTGTCTCCACATCTAGCTGGGCTTTGGATTTTTTGGGTTGAACCGAGGGATTTTGTGAGGCTTGGCTGGTGTTGGCACTGGGGAGTTTAACCCTGTGGGCTAGACTGAAGAAGACCCAGTGCAGAGCCTCGCAGGTAGCTGCCGGGCTGAAAGCCCTGCTGTCTCCGTTAGGCTGGTGTGTTTGGGACCTTCTGTCTGTATAAACCTTCTTCTCCATCTCTGAGAGTTGATCCGTCAAAGCCAACTCCTAAAAATCCTTTTTGCCTGCCTGGGAAGACAGCTGGGGCTTCAGGTCCCAGAGCTGACGTCTTTCCCATGGGGCTGGGTCACGGTCAGATCCTTGGTGAGCGGGAGTTCGGGCGCCTTGCAACAGCTCTGTAGGGGTGCGAGGGGGGTTGTGTCCAGCCGGCACTGCAAAATCCAAGTCGTGAGGCGGTTAAGCAGCACCCGCCGCTGGCAGGGGCTGGGAACCGCTCGGCTTGGAAGCGAGCAAAGAAAATCGGGCGGCGATGAGTGAGCCAGCTTGCTCTGCCTTCGCTCTCCTGCCTGCGCCTCGCCCTCCCAGTGCAGTGCTCTTCACCTCCCGGGCTGCTCCCTTCCCGAGGTGCTGCACCGTTTTCCCGTTTCCTTGTCCTTCTTCCTCACCCCTCTTCTCTGGTTCCAGTCATCTCAATTTTGCCGTCTTTGTTGTCTTCTCCCCCTCTCCGTTGCACCCTGGAGCATTTCTAGTGCTTGGGTGGGAGGCTGGCAGCTTCGGCACACAGCTGGCCCAGGCGCTGGTAGCGCTTCTACCATCAGCTGGATACCTCTTGCCCAGAGCTGCGAATGATCCTGGCTGGTTTTTTGGGCCAGACCTTCCTCGTGGAATAAAAACCACGCGCTGTCTGCTTTGCCTTACCCGCTCAGGGCATCAAACCCCAAACCCGCAGTAACTCCCCGTGCGTGAGGGGGTTAGTAAGAGAGAAGGGAAGGGAATAAGCAAGCGAGGGAATGACTTGCGCTTGCAAAGGCAAGCGACTGCCTGGCCATTTTCCATACCCTGCTGCTTACGATGCAAACCTTTCCAAAAGAGTCCCCAAGCACACATCTGCCTTTGCAATGCTCTAGAAAGCCTGCATCTTGCAGATAGTCTCTCCAGCTTGGCAGGAGATCGCAGTGAGTCATGTTGCAATTACACTGCTTATTAATATTTGAAAAAAGCAGTGAAGAAAGGACCCTGGTGATGCATTTCCTCCATGTGACATAACTGGGAATGGCTCAAAAGTAATTTTAAGCTGATTTATTTAATCCTGTCTTCTATTTATTTAAATGTTTGGAGTTGGTTTTTGGTGGGGTTTTTTTTTTTTAAGGAAATCCATAGACGAGTCAATCCATTAAACACCACTGCTCAGCTGGCTCTCAACCAGATTTGCTGCTCTCTGCAGAGGAAATAGAAATGACCGAAATAGTAGGGGGTTTTTGAGCTGGGCATTTTTGGGAACGATGAAGACAGATTGAGCTAGCTAACCTGCAGTGTCAATGCCTTTTAGAAAAGGAGACGCGGGGTGCTTTCTTAGCCATTACTCCCTGCTCGGTACAGTATTTGTATGCACGTTCGCGTTGTCCTAGAGTAGATCGGGATCCCCAGAAGTCCTTGGCTAACGGGCTGGGGATCGCTGGGTTAGCGTGGGGTCCTGTGTGAGCTTCCCCATCAGTTCTCTGACGGGGAAGCATCTCTCTCCCCTTTCCAGGTGAGGGCTCCGTGCATTGTGTGGTGCAGCGCGGGGGGTACACACGTTTGCAGGGCTTTTTTGCTGTCTTCATCCTGCGATGCTGCCCTCCCTCCCCAAGGGAACCTGGCTGGGCAGCAGTGCCGGTACCGTCTTTCTCCCCAGCAAGGCTGAACATCCTTTTACAGTGCCTGCAGAGCCCCTGGCCCCCGTGCAGGGTTTGGAGGCTAGCTGTCGCTCTCCTGATGCACTCTGAAGCTGTCCTGGAGCAGTTGTTTCTCACTAGCTTGTCACCAAAGGAGAAGATGGCTTTGGAGGGTCAGTGCTAGTCAGGGCTTTACATCAAACTGAAAGACCATGCTCAGGCACCTTATTTTTAAGGTCCGGTCTTGCTGAGCTGCTCGGAGTAGTCTCTCTGTGCACTTGCCATAAATAATCAAGCCCAAAGCAAGGAGGGACTCGTGCTGGATGGAGCCGGATCCATGCCCTTTAAGTTGTCACGCCTGTTTTTATCCTTAAAGCAGCACAAGGTGTTGCACCACCTCCACCGTGCTGAACAGGGGCCAGTATCTCATGATGCATCTGCGGCGTCCTGAGTCATCTCTGCCTTCTCTCCTGTTCCCCTTCCTACCCAGTTCCCCCGCGCCAGTGAAGAAATGGTCAAGAGACCTAGTTAAGATTCACAAAGGCAGCGCGGAGAAGTAAGTTGGAGCGAAGCTGAAGCAAGCAGTTCCCTTTGATATGTAGACAAGTCAGGATACAAGGATTCCTGGCTGTCAGATGCTGTACTGCTGCACTGCGTCACCTCGTGCCGGTTCCCGTGTTTCCCCGGCAGGGAGATGCTCCGTCCCGCATTTGAGACCTGGTTTTGAAGGCTTTAAAAGCCCCGGTTAAAATTTGAAGTCCTTAAAAACTTCCTTACAGCTCCAAGACTAACAGGATCCTGCTGGGAATGGGGTTTTCTGCACAAACTGCTCCTTTCGTCGGTGCAAGTCTCACAGCCCTGACACCTGGCTGCAGAATTGATGTTAGAAAAGGTGAAAAGTCAAAGCCCAAGCGCCCTTTGGGAGCAGTGGGTTGGACCTATCCACCCACAAGTTAAAAGCACCGCTGCTGGAAGGCACTGCTGAAAGGAAGAGCTGCTCTTTGGGTCATCTCCCTCTGCAAGCTCCTGATGCAAAGGCAGCTTCAGTTCCCTGGGTCCTTCCCGGCTGGACCCGGGTGCTGAGTTCAGGTGGACACAGCAGGCGGTGAGGGCGTCTCTGAGAAAACTGTGAAGCAGTGACACTGCTGGATTTCTTTCTTTGCTTTGTTTTCCTTTCTCCGGCTCCAAAATGGAGTTGTTTCTTTGCGGCTGAACGTGTTCCTGTTCCCTTATCTGCTCCTCTCAATCTTGCTGGGGGTTGGAAGTTGTGCTGGGACTTTTGTCTGACTCATGCAGGAATGACGCATGAGGTGGTGCTGGTGTCTGATGTGAAGCAGGATAGGCTCCGGCTTCCTCAGCTCTGCTAATGTGAAAACCTACCTGCGTTTGTGCAGTGGCCAGGCAAGGCTTTGAATACAGCAAGAAGATCCGAACGGTTTCTTAGCTTGCTGTTTGCAGCTGTATCTCCTCGAGCATCCTTAGGAGTCTCCTCCTGGCACCGGATGAGAGTTGGTACGCTTCCCTAGAGAGGGTTAGCTGAGCCTGGGCTACCACTGCCTGCGGAGGTAGTGATGGACCTGAACGTCTGCGTGACCTTCAAGCCAACTTCTCCATGACGAGCTGAAACATTTTGCCCCTCTCTTGGGTTTCCAGTATTAAACTAGGAGAGGAGGAACCCCAGGTATGGTGGTACACTGATATTCATCTCTCTCCTGTACCGTTAAGTCCTAAACCCCTCCTGCATGTCCTGCTGCAGCACCGCAGGGTTTCGAAGCCCAGGCCTCTGCCCTGCTCTCTGAGCTGTGCTGTCGCGCTAAATCCTGGCGAACTTCTCCCATCGCACCCGATTCCCAGTACAATGAAGCTGAACAAAAGCTTGTGCCAAAGCGAATAGCTGTCTTAGCGTGGTTTAGTTTGGAGCTTTGCTCTGTTGGTTTTAGAGCCATTGTGCTCCAGCTCCCAGCCTTTAATTCACCACGGCCGAAATATTGTGACCCCATGCGAAGCAGAGGGTGTAAGCTAAAGACTGCGCAGAGGAGAACTCTAATGTAGGTGTGCCTAGCGTTTGTTTTAATTTTTGTTGGTGGTAAAGCTTCTCTGGAGAGAGATTCAAAGCTACAAGGTACCGAAGCGGGGAAGCTACTCGTTTTCAAGAGGGAAGTTACACTGAGGGTGAGCTTAGGACTGAAATGGTGGGGTGCAGAGAGAGGTGTATAATTTCAGTTGGATGGTGGAAAATGTGGTCAGCCCAGCTTGCCATACGTGGAAGCAGCCCCTAGGCAGAACGTCTCAAAGCAGGGTGGGGCGATACTTTCTCCAAGGACTCGAGGCATTGCAAGGGCACTGGGTTGAAAGATAATCTGTGCGCTGCATCGTGCAGGCATAGGAAGTTTCTCGGGGGGAGCGCGATCCACAGGGAGCTTCTTGGCTCAGCACCAGTTCCGGACCGTAATTGCATGGCTCGCGTATACGTATGCATATGCAGTTTATATGTATACCGAACAGCTAGTGGTAAACTGGCAGTCTGGGCTCAAGGCGGTGCTTGTAGCGCTCCTGAGTTGAAATCACAGAGCAGATTAAAACCGAGGAAAACCTGTCTGCCGCGGAGGACAGGCAATCCCTGTCCGGGGGAGCTGACTCGGGGTGGGTCCAGGCTGGGATGAAGGTGTAGAATGAGAGATTGGGTGAGCTTGGCTTTGGGTGCCTGGCTCCCCGGGGTGCGGAGGGGAGGTGCTGGATGGGAGACAGGGTAGCAAATAAAAACAAACCCTTTGCCCGTCATTAGCTCTGGGACTCTGGGTGCTGAATTTGAAGGGGTTGCAGGCATCCAGCTCCCCCCCCCGCAGCGTGGCCCGCAGGGATGCTCCGGGGCAGCTCCGGCTTCCTCCAACCCCATCCCCCCGGCTGGACCTGGCCTGCCTCCTTCCCTGCCCTCTTAATGCATGAAGAAATACCTCCTTGGCATCCCGCCCTGCGACTGGCATCAGGTGGCGTGTTAAGCTCCCCGGACGCTAATTAAACACATTTAAAGAGGTGTTCTGAGCCGTGACAGCGCTCGTGCTCCTGCCGCTCGGGGTGCTGCAGGCCTGGCCCTCACGTGCCCGCAGCAGGGACAAATGGGGGATTTGCAAAAGCGGGAGGGAGGATGGGGAGTTTTCAGGTTGCAGCTTGGTTTTGGGTGGTTGGGGCCATATTACCGCGGGACACCGAAACCCCCCCCGCCACTGCCTGCTGTATTCGCTGATGCTGTGAGCGTGTGTTAGCACGACCTGGCAGGCTTTGCCCTGGGGAGGAGAGGAGAAGCCCCCAGCCCCGCTGCCTTCCCTCTGCTCCCCATCCCCTCCCAGCCACGGGCTGAAATCCAGTGGCTGTAAAGGGGAAAAAAAAGGTCTTGGCAAGATCAGAGGATAAAAGTTGCTGTGCCGGGGACCTGAAAAGAGGTCCGGTTAAATTGGTGTGGGAAGATTAATGGTGTTTTTTCTTTTCTTTTTCTGTCTTTAAAGCCGGTGGAGGCGGGGGGGGGGACACGCAAGTTTGCTTTTCACACCGTGTGTGTCTGGGGCTCGGGCCGCCCGGCTGGCGGCCGGCTCTGGCGCCTGCCCATGCTTGCCTCCCCTCTCCTGGCTACAGCTAAAAGGCTTGGAGGCGGGGGGGGAGGAAATAAAACAAAACAAATGAAGCCCTCTGGGGAAGTCTCGGTGCACGCTGCGGTGGCAAGGGGCTGCGGTGGAGCAGGAGGAAGCACCCAGCAGCAGCCTTGGCTTTCCTGGTCCCCACCGGGTCACTCCTCCACCCCACTACCTTGCTGATCCTGGTAATGCCGTGGGGTTTTCCACAGCCACCCTGATCCCCTGATCAAACGGTCCCCTTTGAAGAAGTGCTTTGCAGCTCTTAACCTTCCTGTTCTCCATCTTGGTAGCATCTTGCTTCAGCTGGATTCCTGTCTTCTCCTTGGCAAGAATAACCTTGTCCCTGGTGTCGCGTGCCCCGTTTTATTGCCCTGGGACATCCGAGGCCATGAGCACCTCCCCGCTGCGCGCAGGCATTTTAATCTTTTCTTTTTTTCTTTTTTTTTTTTTAACTTTTCCATAAATACCATCAAGGACAGCATCTTCAGGAGCTCAGTCCCTATCCCCGCCATCCTGTGTACCCCAGGAGCTGCTGCTGCAGCCTGCCCTGGTGTCCTGGTAATCAGCACGTGCTGCAGGGTGCCAGGTCTCGCTCCCCAGGGGTCTGCAGCAGATTTGGGGTCACCTCCCCTTCCTCTGCAATGGGCCAGGGCCAGCCCAGCATTTTGGCCAGAGGCAAAGTCCTCCCCAGGAGCATCAAGGTGATGCTTTGCGGGCGTGCATCCATCCACCACGTGCCATTCGGGGCCTGCTTTTCCCCTGCGCCACCGACAGTAGAGCTGGTCTCGGCTCCGTTCAACCAGAACAAGCGGCAAATTAACCTGACCTAGATCTGGAGAAGCCGGAGAGACCAACAGTTCCGTGTGCCCTCAAAATCTGTGCTCTGGAGGCAATACAGGGAGAAATCTTGCCTATTCCCAGGGAGGAGAAATAGCTGCTTATTTATAACAGCTTATTTATAACTGTCTGATAACCTGCTCCTCGTCCCCCGGCCGTGCAAAGAGCTCGCCCTCCCCCGTGCTGCTCTTCGTCCCCCGTGCTGGGAGCGGCTTGCGGCGTCG